AAAAACGTAGCTAGGGTTTCGATTTCCTTCAATCTCTTTATTATGTTTGAAGTCCTTCTTTACGTTAATCGTCCTTAGTATCAATCTAATCAATTCTTTCGCATGTTATTAGAGCTCAATCCCTTGTTACCCTAAAACCTTTACAATCTTGAACGAACCCTAGTTCCCCGTTTATTCCCCAAGAATGCAAGCATTAAGTTCAAGAATCTTAAAGATTACACAAACCCTATGTCCATCCCTAGAATCATAACGTTTACGATGAAGTTATCAGATCTGGATCACACGCCAACATCCCTATTGTCATGCATTTACCTATGATCAATATATAAGATTCAAGCCTATATAAAGCATTAAAAACAGATAACTTCATTCATGATATAAAGGAAAATTAACATAGCAAATTGTTCAAAACATAATAAAAATCTTGAATTCCATCTAACCCTAACTACTTAAAGAACTAGCCAGACATAGCAAAATCAAGAACAAAAGATAATATAAACAAAAGATAATATAAAAGCTCCCCCAAACTCCATAGATGATTGGTGAATCTTCAATATCCCCAGTGCAAACTTGATGTTGATCCGTTTCCGCCGCTCACGAACATGAATCAATGAATCTTCCGCGTTTCCTCTGCCTCCAAGCACCCAGAATTGTTTTGCAAAGTAAAAGTTAATTAATTCTGGTCCCTAATGATGCTTTTATTGGCCAATAGTTCGTATCCTAGTAGAAAACTCGAATGGGCCTAAGTTGGATCTTCCGAGGCGCTTAAGCTTGCTTCAGGCGCTTAAGCCCCCTAGGACGGTTATGGAAAAGTTCGCGTTGCGCGCTTAAGCGCGCTGGAGGGAGCTTAAGCGCGCTCTTCGACTTGAAATTTCCTTCTTTGTCCGTGCTTAAGCCCTGAGTTGGGGGCTTAAGCGCCCAGAGGCAGTGGCTATTGCGTTTTTAGGGAGCTTAAGCTTCGGAATGGGGCTTAAGCTCCCTCTACTAACAACTTGATAAGATCTTCAATCTTCTTGTTTTCACCTTGATTCATCTTCTTTTCTGATTTGATCTCCCTTTATCCAAATCTTCATATTTGAATCTCTTTGTCATCAAATCCCTAAAAATTAGCAAAGATAATTCATTTAATTAATTATTCATAAAATTCATGATTATCATATTAAAACCCTAGTTTTTGACTTGTTCAACCTAATAATTTATATTAATTTAGTCCATAAAACAAGATAAACTCAAGGTTTATCAAATAATTCCCAGATTTAAACACTGCTGTCCTCAGCAATTAATTAGAATAAGACTATGGGAAAGTTTGGAGACGGCTAGTAATGCTTAATGAATAACAGACAGAAAACTGATCAATAATGAGATATCCAAGTATTCCGTTTAATCACAATGATACATCGAGTTCAAACATACATTCACATTTGCTAGTCATAAAATCATAACATAAGTTCTCAAAATAAAGAGTAGTTTAATTCAGATCCACAACACCCTATCACTGGATTTTTATTTATTCACTCATACTCGGTGTTTAAGGGTATATGTTTCACTCTTACTTCACTGCATTAGTACTACCACAGGCTTGTTTATATTCTCCCTCTCCACAGTCTAATTGGTACTCAAAGTCAATCAAGAGGTCTTTGTTAAGGTTGTAACGTGGCTTAGGTAAAAGGAAAGAATTATCTGGGTAAGTGGCTTAAGATTACTGATCAAAATTCAATATTACAGAGGACTTTATATATGACTGTTCACATACCGTAAACAGATTTTTCTTATTGTCTTTCTCCTCTCTTCTTCTTCCACTTATTTATATAACATGAATTTGTTTTCTTTCTTTCCCTTTTCTTGCTTTTATACAGATACACAATTCAACCTTTTTCTTTTTGTTTTCTTTTTCCACCACTTTGTGGCAATTTCCTCTTTTCACCTTTTCTTCCATACACTAGAGTTTGATTTTCTCTTTATGTTCCAATCATATCTAATTCCTCATTTAATTTTGAAAATTAATCAGTTATGGTGAGGATGTATATGGAATGGCTATTCACAATAAGCTGTCAATGAATAAATAGGCCTAGGCTCAAAGGGCTTAATCAAATGATAACATTCAGGTTGGCTATTTGGCTATCTAGCTTTAAAAAAAAAAACTGCCTCTATCATTTCAACAATCATATACCACAGACCATCTTAAGGAGAAACAAAACAAGTTCTAGAGTGATTCATACAATGAAGTTCACACCACAAAAAAAAATTATGTTTAGGCTCAATAGGTCACGGCTAAGGGTGTGAGACTTATTTTTCGACTCTCTATTTGATAACTTTAGTTATTCTTCTCTTATTCCAGTGAACTATAAAGCATGCTTGACTAACGCTCATTTATACATGAAAATAATTTTTACATTATTATACTCTTAATCTCAACTATCAACCAATTTCATGTAATTATTCATTATGGATACATATCAAGCACAATAGAAAATTCTAAAAATTCACCATTTTAAAATTTTACTAAATATTTAGTGATTAAGGATGGATGGGGTATTAAAAACTAATCTAAAACTTCAAATATTAAAGTAAACTAATATATATGAAAACTCAAAATAAACTAATACTTAATTAAAATAATTTTTAAAATAAACTAATACGAAATATTTAAAATCATATAATATGAAAATAATATTGAGAAACTCCCCTGAAAAACTGCATTTGTAATTTGGATATTTCTGTGTAATCATGAAATCTCTCCTTCCGACCATGTGAAGTTTGTGGTCTGATGAATTGCATGGTACCCCTCCCCAGATTTAAATCTTGTTGTCCTCAGCAATAAATTTAAATCTAAAAAGAATCCTAAGCAAGAAATCAGAAAGATTTGACACTATGTTCTGCACACATGTCAGAGAATGAACTATGTCAGAATGTCATATCCAACAAAAAATCATAATCAGGATTAGTCTCAACATACATCTCATACTACCATCAACCATCATCAACAAAATGTACATAAAAATAAACGAAATATAATATAAGAGTCTAAAACTGATATGGGGGTCAATTCTCCTCTGCTGCCTCCTGATCATTACCAGTTGTGGCATTTGCAGCAACAACATCATCAGCATAATATATATTAGCAGCATCTTGTGTAGTGTCTGCAGTCATATCAGCATCAGCATTCGAGTGTCTAGCATGTTTGTAAAGTTAGTGCAATTTCCACAAAATAATTCCCAGATTTATATTCAGATGCATCTGAAAATAATAATGAGTATATGGAACTGAAATACTTTAACAGCATGCATAATGTCAATGATGAGCGCGCTTAAGCGTAGTAACGCGCTTAAGCGCTCTGAGGCAGTGAGGAATGGGATAAAATTTTATTTAGCGCGCTTAAGCTTCCCTCTGGGGGCTTAAGCGTACCCTGCGAATGAAGATTTCTAAATGTGGAGCGCGCTTAAGCGCGATCCGGCAGAGGGGAATTGTATTTTTGGGGCTTAAGCCTTCTTTAGGGAGCTTAAGCTCTCTATACTTAGAAAATTTTTATGATTTCTTTGCATTCTTCTCCTTAAGTATTCCCTAACCTCAATGATTCCATTAAACATCATACACAAAACATATAAATCAATAAGAATTGCGTACCTGTTTATGCTTCATTCCGATATATGCCTGAAAAATCCATCTCAACAGAATTTGATCATTAACCTCAATGTTCTTAGTTTTATTTTTATGTAACATAATACTTAAATAAACTAAACTAGAATTTAAAACTGAAAACTAAACTAAATTAACTAAAATACTGAAACTTAAAATACTGAAAGCTAAAATATTGAAAAGCTAAAAACTGTTGGGTTGCCTCCCATTAGCGCTTGTTTTACGTCACGAGCTTGACGTACCTGATTTACTTTCATGGTGGCTCAAAGCATGAGCTTAGTGATGACCAAGCTCCATCATTCAGAAATGGTGTCCTCCCATAGTACTCTTGTGCATATGAGTGAGATGGAGTAGGCTTAATAGCTTTGAATTTGGTGTTTACGTGCTTTCCCTTGCTCCTGAGCTTCTCCATTTTAACCTTTGGCTTACTTTCTTGAGAAGAATTCTCTTTGTGCTCTTTTTCTTCTTTCTTCTCACTAATATAGCAGACTTGATCTTCCGCTTGAGTTATAGGTGAGGGGACTTCTTTATCAAAGAACTTGAAAATTGCCTGCTCCCCGTCTACCCGTAAGATCAACTCGCCTTTCGGTACATCAATCAGCGCTCTTGAGGTTGCCAAAAAAGGTCTTCCGAAGATCATAGGAATAGTAGAATTTTCCTCTATATCAAGGATGACAAAATCAACATGAATGATGAATTTGTCAACCTTTACCAGTATGTCCTCAATGATTCCATAAGCTTGTTTTGTAGAGCGGTCAGCCAGTTGAACTATTGTCTTGGTTGGCCTTACTTTTGTGATCCCCAGTTTCTTCATCATAAATAGTGGCATCACGTTGATGCTGGCACCGAGATCACATAGAACATTTTTCACTTCCATATTACCTATGTGCATGGAATCTTGAATCTTCCTGGATCTTTAAGTTTTGGAGGCAACTTTTTCTGGATAATGGCACTGCATTCCTCTGTCAGAGTCACCGTCTCACATTCTTGTAGATTACGCTTTCGTGATAGAAGATCTTTCATGAACTTTGCGTAATTGTGCATGTTCTCCAAGACTTCAGTAAACGGGATATTGATTTGCAGCTTCTTGAAAATGTCAAGGAACTTGGAATACTGCTGCTTTTTGATTTCCTCTCTGAACCTCTCCGGATATGGAATCTTTGCATAAGGTGAGAGCTCCAATGGATTTTCTTGCCTTTCTTGAGCTTTCTTTTTCTCCCATTTGAACTCTTTCTTTTCAGGAACAGCTTTCTCTGCAGCAAATTCTTTGGCAACTTCCTTTTCTTTTTCCTTTTCAGTTGCAAGTTCGTCATCTTTCTTTTTCTCAACTGAAGGATTTACCACAGGTTCAATGGCTTTCTCACTCATAGTAGTAATCGCATTGCAGTGTTCCCTACTTGGATTTGGAATAGTGTTACTGGAAAAGTTCCTTGAACTCTTTCAGTGAACTGCTTTGATAGCTGGCCAATCTGAGTTTCAAGATTCCACATAGAAGCTTCTTGATTCCGGAATGAGGCCCTTGTCTCTTGCATAAAGGTTGAAGTGTCCTCTCTGAAATTATTGGAACTTTGAATGTAATCTGCAGTGGTCTTGGATAATTGTGCAAAAGCCTTCTCCCATTCTGATTGTTGTGGAGGTTGTTGTTGCACTGGCATAGGAGGATTCAGTTGATGATTCGAACTGTAACTAAATCCCGAGTGTTGATTTTGATTTTGATTTCTCCACCCTTGATTCAGGTTATTGCCGTATTGGTTCCTCCCTGGATTATATGGAGCTTTTTTATCATGCCAGATTCCATTAACTTCAGCATTTTCAGTTGACTTGTGGAAATTGCAATCTTTGGTAGCATGAGTACCTGTACATATACCACAAGTGATAGAAGGAGTATTAACAGAAGCTACTGAAGTATTAACAGAAGAAACTTGAAATTCAGAAAATTGCTTTGTGAGAGCATCTAGCTGTTGTTGCTGTTTCTTATTGGATTGTAAAATCTGCTCATTCTGAGCCATGATGGCATCATAGCCATCAAGCTTCATAATCCCTGCTCTTCTCTGTGGTACTGGAGCATTATCGTACTCTTGAGATGCTAGAGATTCTATTAATTCCAAAGCTTCCTCTGGAGTTTTTGTTTTCAGTGATCCTCCTGCTGCGGCATTCACTAAGGTCCTGGTGTTTGGCGTCATTCCTTGAAAGAAAATTCTCGCTTTATCCCAAGCTTCAATGCCATGCTGTGGATATTTCCTGAATAGTCCCTTGAATCTTTCCCATGCTTCATATAAAGATTCACTTTCCTTTTGTTCAAAAGAAGTGATATCCGCCTTGAGTTTCGCCAATTTTGAAGATGAGAAAAATCTGGCCAAGAACTTTGTAGCTAAGTCATCCCAGCAGGTGATACTTCCTTCAGGTAGTGAATGCAGCCAAGCCTTTGCTTCGTCTTTCAGTGAGCATGGAAAAAGTCTAAGCAAGATGGCATCCCGAGAGACTCCGTTCATTTTTAGCATGTCACAGTAAAACAGGAAGCCTTCCAGATGACTGTAGGGGTTTTTCGTGCTTCCTCCGGCAAATTGATCTTTCTGAATCAATTGTAACAGTGCCGGCTTGAGTTCAAAATTGTTAGCTTCCATATGTGGTCTAACAATGCTTGCTGTCTGTGGAACTCTAGCAGAATTCATATAATCTCCCAATGTTCTTGGAGGTGGAGGTGGAGGTGGAGGAGGAACTCTATTTTCTTCTGCCATTGCTTTTTCTCTTGGTTTTGTTGAGCTTGAAGCTTCTTCCTCTTGCTGTCTTCTTTCTTTAGCAAGTTTTTCTGTTTCTTTTTGCTGTTTTCTCTATCTCCGGGTCGAATAGCAAGGAATCGGTGTCAACGGTACCTCGCATAAACCAAAATACAGATTATATAAAATAAAAATAGAACTGAATTTAAATAACAGAAATAAGGTCCAATCTAAAGAATTAATAGCTACTATTAATATTGAAATAGTAATCCCCGATGTAACATCCCGTTCAAACTAAAACTTTATTTAAAGTACGATTAGGAAGGTGTAGGACATTTATAGAGGATTAAAAATATTTAAAAGACATGAAAACCCTAGATTAATGGGCTGGTCAAAATACAACTAAAGTATTGGATTTAAACATTTTGGGACTCACACTTCACCTAAAGGCCGACGACCCATATTGCATTAGGATGGATTTTTGTTTAGCCTCAAATCTTGTTTGTCATAATCTCATCTTAAGGAATAGTTAGGTTCAGCCCAAAATTTTATTTATCCTAACCTCATCTTAAGAATATCACAAGGCAACACATAATTGGTTAATGACCACCACATGGCAAAAAACCTATCTCTATCTCTCTCCTCATGTGCGCCTAGGGTGTGTAAGAAATTCTAATTTTTTTGCTACTTCATCCAAATCAAATCAGCCTATGCATGTCTTATTTTTTAGGTGCCAAATAAAGTCTCTTCCACTCTTGTACTCCCTTCTTTTTGCGCAAATGTAGGAGGAAAATTCTGATTGTTTGTTTTTTTGGATTACCTCTAGTCAGCCTTGCATGTCCTTGTATTGGCTAAGGGGTCATCCCATCCACTCTCTTACCCTCCCTCCTTACACACCTAGTAGGTATCAAAGTAACTCAAAACCTTCTTGCTGGGCATTGGGATCAGAATGCATGTACCCCTATTGGTTAAGAAAATAGCTCACTGTCCATTTCACTCTATTATCTTGTACGCATAACAAAGAAAGAAACACACACACAAAAAATCTTACTGCTTGCATTTACTTTTGTTCAGAATCACAAGCCACCTTCCTCTCTTCCCCTATGCGCATAGCAACCCTAAATCTGCTTGCAGGTCTATCTTTTGGTTCAGAAAAAATAAACTTAGCCCCACTCTTTTCCCCTCAAAGCCGTAAGTCTAGAAAGAGGAGAACATAAACAACTAAGCGTACATTTGTTCTTCCCCAAGCGCTGAAGGTGTGAAGCAAGAGGCTGAAGACTAATCTTATTAAACCTAACCATAACATAACCTTACAATCTGCCCCTTCCTTCTAAAAAAACCGTGACCTCCAATAGGAGCAGATTCATCTTTCAATTTTCAAGTTTCATCTTCTCTCATGGCTGGGCCGTGAGCTTTGGAGCAAGGGAGAACCATCTTGTCTCTCTTTTGTTCTTGCTCGGCTGGACACCACACACAAGGAGTTAAAGACCGAGTCTCTAGTTTTTTTTCAACCACTGTTACGGTATGTCTACGTAGTTTAGAGTGATAGTTTTTATTTTGTCATTCTCATTTCTTTGATTTTGTTCATTTGGGTAGCTCCTGAACCTAGTATATGCTAGCGTAAAGGTCCATGTGGTAAGCAGAAAATAGATTCCCTCTAAGTCTTGCTGGACTGCTAGGTGGACTAATTGGAGGCATTTAAATTGCATGTGGGGCTCAGTTAAATTTACAGCATACTCATTAGTTTTTTAGCGCACATTGGGTTTGGTAAGAATGGTTATGTAATGTGATAAATTAGGAACACTTCAATAAAACAATTAGTGAAACTTTGAATACATAATTGGGGGCTATGAATCGAAAATTTAGACTTCTCTGCTCACTGATCAGTCGTGCCTTGTGTATTTGAGGGGGCTATTTCTCGAGCACAGGTTTAGGTTCGGCCTCACCCCTGGATCAATCCACACATGGGAGGAGCTCTCTAACAAGTTCATAGAGAGGTTTCTCCCTATGTCTCGACAAGCTGATGTAAGAGCAGAAATTTCTAACTTCAGAATGTTTTATGGAGAAAATCTCTATGAAGCATGGGAGAGATATATGGACATCATCAGGAAATATCCAAACCATGGGGTAGAGAGTTGGGGAGTATTACAATCTTTCTACAAGGGACTTGACCATACTTCTCAATCTCATTTAGATTTTGTTGCAGGAAGATATTTTTTTACATGAACGCTTGAATCCAGGTATGAAATCATAGAAGGAACTGCTGAAAGATGTCTCAAATGGCCAATAGATAGGGTGAACCCAGTAAGGAAGCCTGGCATGCTAGAACTAGATAAACAAATTGTCATGGAAGCCCAACTGGCATCACTTATGAATGAGGTGAAGAACCTGTAAGCTGATCAAGAAGCACCAAGGATGGAGGTCCTGCAACTCACAGCAGCTGAGACTGAACCATGCTCAGCCTGTGGTGACCTTCATGACTCAACAGACTGCCCATCCACTGCATTGGAGTGTTATGTAGAGAACTTTGGCAACAAGAACTTCACCAGAGACAATCCACAAGCAGGACGCAATACCAATTCAAATCCTGGAGGAACTATCTCCAAAGATCAGAACTATAATCCCCAATGGAGGCCACCCATGAAGCAAAGACCATTCAACAATCAGCAGCAACAGTATCAGCAAGCCAGCAGCAGTGGAATGTTTGAACAAAGAAGAAACAATTACGTTCTGTTCCATAGAGATGACCAACGCATTTGTTAGTATATAGGTGTCCTAGAGACAATCTATTTTATCAGATGAACACCTTTTTCTATTTAGTATTTCATGATTAATAAATATGAGCAAACTTTATCTTTATCATATTTATGTCTCACCAATATTTTATCGTTAATATGCGTTTAAAGATAAAGACCCTAGGAATAGACTGATCCTAACAGTTTTTCAGTAGAACACCAAAGAAGACTGAATCCTATAATGAAGGAAGTGGTAAGAAAGGAAGTCATCAAATGGCTAGATGCAGGGATCATATATCCAATATCTAACAGCAGTTGGGTCAGTCCTGTCCAATGTGTTCCTAAAAAGGGAGGCATAACAGTGGAATTAAATGAGAAAAATGAGCTAATACCTGTAAGAAAAGTTACAGGATGGAGAATTTGCCAAGATTACAGAAAGCACAACAATGCCACCAGGAAGGACCACTTCCCACTCCCTTTTACAGATCAGATGTTGGATCATCTAGGAGAAAAGGAATACTTCTGCTTCCTTGATGGATATTCGGGATACAATCAGATTGCGCTACCACCAGAAGATCAACATAAAACAACCTTCACTTGCCCATACGGAACGTTCGCCTTCAGAAGGATGCCCTTCGGGTTATGTAATGCACCAGCAACGTTCCAGAGGTGTATGTTCTCTATTTTTTCTGATCTAATAGGTGAAGGAGTAGAAGTTTTTATGGATGACTTTTTGGTGCTAGGAACGTCATATGATCACTGCTTGGATAACTTAGAAGAAGTCCTCTGAAGATGCATGTCCTCTAATTTAGTGCTTAACTGGGAAAAATGCCACTTCATGGTGAGAGAAGGAATAGTCTTGGGACATAAGATTTCCAGAAAAGGACTAGAAGTAGGATCAAGCCAAAGTAGAAGCCATAGCAAAAATGCCACCACCAGTAAATGTTAAAACTCTGAGATCTTTTCTTGGGCATGCAGGCTTCTACAGAAGGTTCATTAAAGATTTTTCTAAAATAGCTAGACCTTTGTGCCATTTGTTAGAAAAAGATATGAAATTTGAGTTTAACTCTGATTGCATGAAAGCTTTTGAATCCTTGAAAAACAAGCTCATTACCACACATGTCATCCAACCTCCATACTGGAACTTCCCCTTTGAATTAATGTGTGATGCAAGTGATCACACTATTGGGGTAGTTCTGGGCCACAGGAAGGACAAACTTTTTCGTAGCATATACTATGCCAGTAAAACTTTGAATGAAGCTCAGGTGAACTACACAGTCACTGAAAAAGAGCTGTTGGCTGTAGTGTATGCCTGCGAAAAATTCAGGCCTTACATTTTAGGATCCAAAATTACTATCCGTACTGACCATGCAGCTCTCAAGTATCTTTTCTCAAAAAAAGAAGCAAAACCAACATTGATAAGGTGGATCCTACTACTGCAAGAATTCAATCTGGAGATCAAAGAAAGAAAAGGGTGTGAAAACCAAATTTCAGATCACCTGTCCAGATTATAACACATTGAAGTGGGGCTACCAATCAAAGAAACGTTCCCCGATGAACAATTATTTGTCATCAGTCACACAGAAACAGACGTTCCTTGGTTTGCTGATATAGCCAACTTCCTTGCAGCAGGGCTAGAACCTTACGAGGCAAACACAATGCAGAAGAAAAAATTCTTTCATGGTTGCAGGAACTATCTCTAGGATGAACCACTACTATTCAAAAGATGCGCAGATCTAATGATAAGGAGGTGTGTCCCAGAAGAAGAACAACCTCAAATCCTTCTACACTGCCATTTATCCCCATATGGAGGTCATCTGGGTGGAATCAAGACTGCATCCAAGGTTCTTCAATCAGGTTTTTTGTGGCCCTCCCTTTTTAAAGATGCACTTCAATATGCTAAACAATGTGATAAATGTCAAAGGGAAGGTAACTTAACCAGACAAAATGAAATGCCTCTCAATCCAATTTTAGAAGTTGAATTATTTGATGTTGAGGTATTGATTTCATGGGCCCTTTTCCTCCTTCTTGTGGGAACAGATTCATATTGATGGCTGTAGAGTATGTAAGCAAGTGGGTGGAAGCAATTGCTTTACCCACTAACGATGCCAAGGTGGTTATAAAATTTCTAAAGAAGAACATTTTGACCAGATATGGGACCCCACGTTGTCTCATTAGCGATGGTGGGAAACATTTCATTAACCGCCAACTTGAGAGATTGTTGGAAAAATATAAAGTCAGACACAAAGTTGCAACTCCATATCATCCACAGACCAGTGGTCTCAT